GATTCAGAGTGGGAGCAGTAAATACAAAAATCATAAAGCCAGATAAAACACTCCTACTCCATCTAGATCTGAACATCTGTTCAGTTTCTTGATTGTCATAAAGTACTGCAAATTGGTAATGATCAGATCAGATTTGAATTGAATACTAACTTCTTTTCAGATAATGTCTTCAATTTTTAAATGCTGCTACAATAGTCAAGAGTTTTTTATCATGAGTATCATAACACATTTCCACATCAATCAACTTTCTTAATCAGAAAATAACTGAATGTCAGTGCCTGTCATTCTGCAATTGTGACAGGATAGCAGTGACTGTAAAAGTGAATGCATCAGATTCAATCTGATGTAATAGACGCAACGGAGATATCTATATTAGGAAATAGATACGTGGCGATAGATACGTGGCGATGGCAATATTGTCTATATAATGCTCGCTGATATCCGTGGATTTTAGGAGATCAGCGATTAGCTTTGAACAATAGAAATTGCTACCTTCTTAATATCCTTTGTGCGTACTTCACACTACTCTTGTAATTACTCTTGTAGCCCATCTCTTACATCTGAATACACTGAGCTGGGTCAAAATGAGCTAATAAAGAAGCATGCATGTATGTATGTATGTATAGGTTTAACGTCCCGGAGAAAACACGGGCAGCGCCCGTGTTTCAGAAGCCTCCCGAAGGGCATGGAGACGTGCTACGCTGGAGAGATTTCTATGTACACAGAGAGACAGAGAAAACAGAATCCAGGTGGCAACTCTTGAGAAGACTCAGCTCATTGCAAAGGATTTTTCTGAGCTGCGCATCCACTTCTGGCCCGACGTATGGCCATTCATGGTGGGGCTATAGTGTGGTTCCCTGAGGGGACCGCCGCTGCCGTGCCTGGAAGGCTTTATAGTGAGCAGAGAGGGATACCTCTCTCAGTTGATCAGAAAGCTGTCTGTGCTTCTAACATCAGAAGAAAGACAGACAAGATAAACAATGAAGGAGAGAGCACTGAAGAAGGTTGTGACAGGAAAAGAGCAGAGAATGACAGAGAGAGCAAAGAAAAGAAGGAAGAAGAAGCATTTGAGCCGATAGAGACAAGGGCAAACGAGAGGAAAACAAAGCAGAGCACGCGTAGATACAATGCCGGCAGTCAAAACCATATCAGCTGAGTCAGACACGTAGACTGTACTGATTACACCACAGCTAATTGAGACAGATGAGCCTAGTTGTGCTATCTGTACTGTCTGCATAGACTGTGATGTCCCTGGCAGTTGCACTAGCTACCGTGGGTGTACTCAGCAGGCCGGCCTCGTGGAACTGCTGCGGGGGTTGTCAGATGGTTTGCAGCCAGCCGGCTGCGTTACCTTGTGCAGTACCGTGTGTAGAACTGCGTGCAGTCCAGCAGTTCTACAAAGTCTGTAGGGGTCAGAGACCCTAGATAGGCAACAGCTGTCGCCCGGTTGTGTGGCCGTGCTGCTGGCCTCTTGGGCCAGTGAAGAAAGTGCCTCTGTGAGTGTCGACAGAGCACCAAATGTTCTGGGCTCTTGTTGTGTCCACAGACACAGGTGAGCCTCGCATCTGCATGCTGGAAACGCCTGTGGTACCAGGAGAAGTCCCCATGAGAGGAGCGGAGTGCGAGCCAGCGGTGAAGGGCATGCCGTGGCATGGTGAGCTCCGGAGGGGCCTTCACTTGGTATTCCACAGTCGGCCTGCTGAAACTCCAGCCCCGGTACCAGTCAGAGAGCCTGCCACAGGCTCCACTCCACCACTTTCGCCTTGCCTCTTGGCTGAGCTGCTTGGCCACTGTGCGGACCCCACTGACTGTGGGTGTGGCCTCGAGACCATAGGCTGGGGCTGCAGTGGATGAGACTGCCCGCTTAGCCAAGCGGTCTGCTTCCTCATTGCCCTCTATCCCCATATGCCCAGGAGCCCATTTCAGGCCGACATTGTGCTGTCTGAGGAGCTCATGGCAGCGGTTGTAGGCCCAGTTTGAGGAGGCTGCTGCACTGCCCCGTATGCCCCAGATGACTGAAGCATGCATAAAGCATGATTTGAGCGCATTGAAAGTGCTTTAGGCACCTTCTGTCCACATAAAAGTGGCTTTTCTTTCCCCTTTCTTGCTCCCTTTTGTAAGTTCAAATAATGGGGCTGCAATAGAGGAGAAAGACTTAATAAATCACTGATAGAAGTTAGCAAAGCTTAAAAAGAATTGAACCTCTTTAATTGACTTAGATGTAGACCATTCTACAATAGTGGAGACTTTGTCTGACTTCATCTCAATACCATTTGTATCTATAACAAACCTCAGAAATGAGAATTTGTCCACTTCAAACTCATATTTAAAGAGTTTTACAAATAGATTCACACACTTGAGATGTTCTAGCATCTTAGTAACATGCACTTTATATTCTTGCTTTGAATTGGAGAATATAAGAATGTTATTCAAATAAACAACGCAACATATATTCAATAAATCAGGCAAGGCATTGTTAATGTATGCTTGAAATATCACTGAAGCATTAGCTAATTCAAATGGCATAATT